CTCTCTCGGCCTTCAGAAAACCGTTTATACCATTCGAAAACACGCGCACGAGATAGAGAATTCTCACCATAGGCCTTTTTCAACAACTTATAGCACTCAGTCGGAGTTTTTTTTAATTTAACGAGAAATTTCACATTGATCCGTTGCTCGTGTTTTTCGTCACACATTGTTATCGGCACGAGAAAAAAACAAGTTCGTTTCTAACCTCTATAGAAAAAATACCACTACTGCGACAAAAACGTGTTTTCGTACTGGAATAGTAGACACTTCCAGCTATCCAACGCTGCATTTGTTTCCCACCCTACCCCTCTAGGACGCCTTCTGCGCGCGCAGTCTCGTTATTTAATAGCCAGACCTCGTATATAACAAAGAGTTGAGAACCAAAAATTGTATTACTGTTGGAATTTGCACGATGATGATCAATCTATACAAACGTTCTTATATTCGTGATGTATATTTGCTGTAAGTACAAGGTTAGGGCTCGGCGTGGCATGCGTGTTAACCCATGAGCGCGGGTCGCAGGACTGACTCTCTCCTGTGATCGTCACGCCCTCGTCAGGCTCGACATGTCTCAACATCTCCCCTCTTGAGAGACTACTGCTGAGTGTAGGACTTTGCCTTAGGATCCAGAACTAGCCTCCGTGGTTGGACTCTATGACAAAAAGGCCTGGCTGAAGTTTCGCTAGGGGCGGGTCCTGGATAAAGGTTTCCCTGTGGAAAAGCCGGGATACCAGGTCGGGGCTCCGCTGGGTTCTGTACCGGTTCAGGCTCGTAGTGGATTCAGTCATCTGAGGTTAAAGAATCAGGATTCGCCGGGGTGCTACCTCCTATCCAAATGTGGTTGATGTGTCGTTCGACCGACCTGCCACTGTCCAGTAATATTAGATAGCGTGTATTCGATAAGATGTTTTTGATGTGTCCCTGTTCGCGTTTGTCTTTTAGTGCCACGTTGACTCGGTCTCCCAAATTGAGAGTTCTGTGACGAGCTCCGTGATGATGTTCGAATTGTTGTTGCATCTCCAACTGTTTCTGCGTGAGATTGTTTGGAAAAGTGGATGGGGATATTGGTAGTATAGGGAGTAATTTGGTGAAAGGAGAGGTAATATGTCTGTCAAACATTAATTCGGCTGGAGATCTTCCATTTGAGGTTGCGGAGTAAGGTGTATGTCTGTAACTGTAAAGGAAGTCTTGGAGTTCTTTCCTCCAGTTGGAAGGATTTTTTGCGATAGCTCTTTTTACGGAGTCGACCATTCTCTCAGCTTGTCCGTTAGATTGAGGGTGGTTGACGGCGGACAGAATGTGAGCGATGTGCATCTCTTTGCAAAAGTTTGCGAAGATATCTGCTGTAAATTGCGTTCCATGATCGCTTATTAATATTTCAGGCGGACCATACCTGGAGAATATTTCCCGACATATTTCTATTGTGCGTGCTGCAGAAATAGTTGGCCACTGATAGCCACTTCGATAAATTTTGAAAATGCGTCCACGAAGACGAGTAGATATTGGCCGTCTATCGGTCCTGCGTAATCCACATGTAAGCGTTCTAGAGGCTTAGAGGGGATTGGCCACGGAGAGATTGAAATCTTGACTGGTAATTTGCGTGTTAGTGCGCAGGGGTCGCACCGTATTACTATACGTTCGATATCCTCGGAAAGTTTTGGCCAGTAGACGTATTCACGTGCGAGCTGCTTCATTCTTCGAATACCGGGATGGCCTTTGTGGAGAGATGACAGGATACTGGCTTGAATACCTTGAGGTATGATTACTCTGTCTCCGAATAGTAAGATGTCGTCGACGATTGACAGGAAGTCAAGACGTTTCTTATAGTGTTCCACCGTAGGTGAACTGATAGTAGGAGTTTTATTGCTCCGAATAGCTTCCATGATAGCTTGGAGGTCGGGGTCAGTACTGGTAGCCGATTTTAACTTGAGACGAAGTTCTTCTTCAAATTTATCGATGGAGAAGTCTCTGATTCGTTGGATTTCGTTTTCCACTGCACGGACACAGGCTACTTGTAAGTCTTCATGTTATCGTGGCAGAATTTCTGTATTAAACGCGATAAAGCGTCTGCTTGACCGAAGTCCTGTGAGTGGACATATTCGATTTCAAAGTCGTAACCCAGTAGTCTTATGGCCCAGCGCTTGACACGAGCCGCTGTAGTGGGTTTTAGACCTTTTGTGTCTTCAGATTGGAGGAGAGCGACAAGCGGTTTATGGTCGGTTTGTAAGATGAACTTCCTTCCCCAGACGAATTTATGGAATCGTTCGACCGCCGTAACCAATGCAAGAGCTTCCTTTTCGAACTGGGAATAGTTGCGCTGAGAATCTGTTAGACTTTGTGACATATGGTAGATAGACAGCGCGTTCGTGCCCGTACGCGTCTCGCTGCAGGAGTACTCCACCGATTCTTGTAGAGCAAGCGTCTGCAGCTACGATGAGTGTTTTTGAAGGATCGAAGTGCTCTAAGAGTAGGGGGCTAAGAAAGATTTTCTTGATGTGTAGCATTGTAGTGTCGTGTTGTGCGTTCCACGTCTATGATTGGTTCTTTCTTGTGAGATCTTCTAAGGGTTTCTTTAACTGATGAAGATGTGGTATAAATTTTCCGTAGTGGTTTATCATTCCTAAGAGTGTTTGGACTTCCGCCACGGAGGAAGGATTAGGCATACTCGTAATCGCTCGAGTAGTTTCAGGATTTGCGGCGATGCCTGAGCCATTGATGATAAGACCGAGATACTTGATTTCGTGTAGAGCGAAGCGGCATTTCTCGGGTTTCAACTTCCATCCCAGAGCCTCGAGGCGTTGTAAAGTTGAGCGAAGACGTATATCGTGTTCTTGACGGGTAGAACCTGCGATATAAATATCATCGATGTAGGCGCCGACGCCGTCCAACCCTGAAATCGATTGATCTATGGCTTGTTGAAATGTGGCTGGGGCCGTCTTGATGCCAAAGGGTAGACGTTTGTATCTGAAAAGGCCCTTCGGTGTTGTGATCGTGGTGACATCACGATATCCTTCAGCGATTTCGATTTGCAAGAACGCATCACTGAGGTCTAAAACGCTGAAATAACTATTACCATTTAGTTTAGATACTATAGAATCTATGTTCGGTAAAGGATACATGTTATTTTTCAATGCCTTATTCACGCCTGTGGAGTAATCAGCGCATAAACGGATTTTGCCGTTTAGTTTTTTTACGATGACGATAGGTGTACTCCAATCCGATTGATGTACGCGTTCGATTATGTCTAAGGATTTTAAATGCTGCAATTCCTCGTCTAGGAGAGTTTCCATCGCGAACGGGATTTGCCGACATGGAGTTTGCACTGGAACAGAGTTTTCGGATAACGTAAGTTTAGCTCGAAAATTTTTACACTGCCCGAGGTCCTTGGAAAAGAGTTTTGGAAAATTTTTCACGATGTGGTCGTTTGATGCTGGAGGTGATGGTGGTGACTCGACGGGGGAATTTGTTTTGTTGTGTTTAACAACCGCGCGTTGTGAATTTTCACAGAACTCACGGCACTTGTCGAGAGGCATAGCCCACAAATTGAGCTTGTCGATAGCGTTTAAGCCGAATAGGTTAAGACCGTCGCGCGCGGCAACATCTATCACTACATCACCTTCACGGTTAGCAGCCCGTATTTTACACTTGAATCTTCCTAATGTTTTCAGAGCATTGCCCCCGGCGTGTTCCACAGATTTGCCGGAGCTAAGTGTAGGACTGCCTAGACGTATCCACGTGTCTTTCCCGATGGTCGTGACATCTGATCCACTATCGTATTGAAATTGTACATGTTGGTCGAGTAATGACGTAGGAATGTAGATGCGTCGATAGTTGTTGAGCGAAGTTATCGATTGAATTGCTGGCTTATCGATATCAACTGTGTTATCGATTGTGTTGTCGGCCGAAAGGTAGTCGACCTTATCCTTCGAGCGACACACCTTCGCGATGTGGCCTTTTAAGAAACACTTAAAACACGTGGCGTCGCGGAACGGACAGTTTGCACGACGATGTGCGCCACCGCAGCCATTGCAATTGGACAATTGTCTAGGCACACTCTCCGTGGTGCCAGACTATTTCGTGGATTCTGATGAAGGCCGTTTCTTCTTTTCTGATTTGAAGCGCACAGACTGCGTGGTTGAAGTGGAGAGATTTGATGGGTTTTCGAGCGTTTTCAAGTTTGTAGATACGTT